GGGGGGGGGGGGGGGGGGGGGGGTCATGAAAATTCCTAAAAGAAAAATTTTCTGTGCGAGGTGGTCCCGGCTTCCACAAAAACATAATCAGGTGCACATGATGGTTAACTAATTTGTCTTTTAGAAGCTCTAGCCCAGCGTAGAAAAAACGAAAGAAGTTGAAAAGGACTTGTATTAATTGTCCACAAATTGCGTAAGGTATCGGAGGGGGGGAAGTCAAGGCGTGGTTTTAGGGGGGGTAGAGAGAGATCGAGTAGTACCTCAGTGAGAACGCCTGTTAAAAAGAGAAAGAAAAAGAAATTTGCAAATTGATTTGTCTGGAAAAGTGACCATTCTTCACATTCAACATTTTTTCCTGCTTCAAACCGTGTCTAACAGCCCTTTTATCAAATGTCATTCTCCTCAGAATTCTTACCTAGGTTCCAGAAAGAATGCATGAATAAATATAACATAACGTGTTTTGTGCTTTGTTGCAGTTATTTATGATAGACAATTGTGCAGATGACTGGCGAATCGCAATGACGTGGCAGAGGATGGTGCAAATTGGCCTTGAGCTCCTTCTCTGCGCGGTTCATCCAATTCCTGGCCAATATTATTTTTTGTGGACCACCAAGCTAGCTAACAAAGGTGGTGAATATGCTTCCCGCTGGGTGCCTTATGATGTGACCTTGTCTCTCCCTATGTTTTTCCGTCTTTATTTGATATGCAGGGTCATGCTCCTTCATAGTAAACTATTCACCGATGCCTCATCTAGGAGTATTGGTGCTTTAAACCGGATTAATTTTAACACCAGGTAAATACAGCTCAGTCGTTCATTGTACTCAGTTTCAAAATGAATCAGTAGGAACGAAAACACACCAACTCGGTAACTCGAAAAGGCCCTCCATTTGAACGAAAGAAATGAACGAAAAAATTATGAAAGAACAAACATAAATGTGGTTTAATAATTTTAACTTCCGCCGCCGCGCCGCGCTGACCGCACTGCGTTTTGCGCAATGCGTGAAGTATTTCTACAGTCTCGTAGGCGCTGTGCATTTCACGTCGACCGCTGCAAGCCGACCGCACTGTTTTTGACACAATGCGTGAAGTTTTCCTACAGTCTTGTAGGCGCTTTGCGTTTCACGTCGAGTGGTGCTGAACGCACTGTGTTTGACGCAATGCGAAATTACTGCACTCTCAGGAAATGAAAGATTTTGTCGCCTTTTCTCGTATGTATTTTTTTATGTGCGACAATCAATTTTAATAAAGGTCATTGAAGTTGGGGCATCTGTTCAAACTCGGACCTTTAAAGTGCCCTTAAGTACTCGTCTTTCGGCACCAAAAATATTTTTCTTAGGCTCTTACTGTGCAGTTTTGTGTGGGTTTTGATTATTTCAATTTTTCGAGTTGGTGTTTTTTCGTTTTCATTAATTCAAATATTCTTTAAGAAAATAAATTTTCAAAATGAACGCATATTGGATCGAGGATAGGATCACCATAGTAATCACGGATATCCCTCATTGATGAACGCTCGCCATCAACTGTATTACATATAATTTATCCGCACGGTTTCATCCATTTTATTGATTAGGAGCCGTATGTACATATAATCGTTCTTCATACAACTTAACAGTTTCTTTCTTCAGGATCGAGGCCCCATGTGGTTTACAGGGTGATTAAAGAGGGTTCAAAGAGATCCTCAACGTGGCATCACAAAAAGGACAATTTTAACGTATCTCGAGGAAAATGCATCAATGCACAATTTTTAGAAATTGATCCTTGCTAAGGTTTCAATGACTTGTGAAAAATTAAAAATTAAGAAAAAAGTACTCCATGATTTTGACAAACGTAAAGTACGAACCTGTCTTAAAGTTCTCAGAGCCTGGAATATTTTTTCTCCTATATTTTTAATTATGCGTGGATGATTCACAATCATACGATGTCAAATCATTGCTTTCCCGTCCAGGGACGTGTTGCCTTCCTCTGCTGAAATTTACTCGAGATCCGTCGAAAAGGTCCTTTTCATGGTGTTATGTGTGTAATACTTTAGTGCATAATACTTTTCAAAGAGTTCACGAAGAAATCTCAGAAAATGATTCAGTACAATTAGCCTGTGTCACACTATCAAAGCTAACCATCAAAATATCAAGGTCAGGAGTTGTGATTCGCTTATTCGATGACTTGGACCACTCACAGCACTTGACCTTGTCATTTTGATGGAGTATTTTGATAATGTGACACAGGCTATTGAGCCATTCCACGCACGGTTAAATACACTCAATTTAGCTTCCATTTAGCCAAATCATGCGGTTTAATCAGAGTATTTCTTACCTTTAATTTTCTTAAGATCTATCAAATCGCAAGTCAATCAAGGGGATATTTTTGTTGAAAAGAATAGACGTACAAGAATGGTGCATTTTTTTATAACAACATTTTATTATATAACTGATACCTTTTAAGTGGCCTAATTATACACACTGTCGGGAGAGAGATAAATCACTGGAAAATTAGAAAAAAATTATTCAAAGAATATTTAAATACGAATATATGTTTCATTAAAATAATAATATACTAAAGGGAACAATGATAAACGGTTTTTTGTAAGTCGAATCATTTTAATAAATGCATTGTAATGTGACTGTCAACGGAAAAATGGATTACAGTCCTGGGATCAAAATGTTTAGTGAGGCCATTATTCAAAAATGTTTTTTGATTTTTCCTATACTCCATTCTTCGGTACCAGGAACGAAAAGCTTTCATTTTTGTAGACTAAATTCCTATTTTCCGTGGATGGTTAGACATGAAGTTTCAGTCATAACCTATCTAATTTTGAATTTCTTTACTTCCTTTCCAAGGTTTGTTCTGAAAACACTGATGACAATTTGTCCGGGGACTGTTCTACTAGTTTTTATGGTTTCACTGTGGATCATAGCGAGTTGGACGCTTAGACAGTGTGAAAGGTATGTTTCATCCTTTGATAACTTATTCATACTTTCTGTACTCACCCCTTGCTTTAATTTTTCGCTCTTTCTTGGTTTTGTTCCTTTTTAAATCCCTTTTTCTAACCTCAGACAGTGTGGTAGGAAGAGCAAGACCTGACCCTTTATACATTTAATCTTACGCAGGTGATTCTGAAGAAAAACTACAAAAGAACTCATTCATTGAATTCGTTAATTTATTTATACATCGAGGAGTCAGAATTACCTCCGCTGTCATAATAGCGAGAGAGCGATATGCCCCAACTCGTTGAAAGCAAAATTGTTTACACAAATGAGAAGGTGTATCAAATTCTCATTTAGAAATATTAGCTGAGCGAATGTGCTTTTACATTTTAATTGCAAGAGACTAGAATGTCTCTGACCCTTCTCGACTTGAAAATACGCAAAATTTTTAGATTCAAAATATAGTTCCCAACTTTGATTTTAACTGCAGTATATGGATTTTGGAAATCTGTGGCAGTTGCGTTTAATATAGGACTGAAATTTTCAGAGGCACTAAATCTTTAATCCTAACTCAGTTTCCATTCGTACAAACAAACACAGACTGCTCATCACAGACCTATGTGGTTGAATTGTCCGAAAGATAATTTGTGTTTTAGACTTATTATTTTCTTCAAGGGGGTTATTGCATGACTTAAGGATCATTGAGACACTAGGCGCTTCTGATGAAATATTTAATAAGAAACGTGTATCGAGCTGAAAAACCTCATTTTCAAAAAAAAGCTTCAAAGTTTAAGCACTGAAACGACTCTTACTCTGCTATGCTATGGGAAAACGCCGTATGAGCGCACAAGAGTTGCCACATTTCCCACAATAAAACATTAATATTTGAAGAGAATTACGAATATCTTCCCTCGAAACTTTCACATACTTCAAATTAGGATGCGAATGAAATTCTTTGAATATTTGGAAGGAAAATATCCAAAAATTTCTCTAAATATTCCTGTTTTATTGAAGGGAATTTAGCAATGTCTGAAGGCTTTTACGGTGTTCTGTCTTAACACGGCAGTATTGGCTGCCTGAGAAATTCTCGCCGGTTGACATCATCACTGGATTGTTGAAATAACTTCGTTTTTCAATTAGGGACCACGATTTTCTGGCCCTTTAAAATCACCTATCTGCTTACGATAACTAATAGCACGCATACGTTGTTCCTATAATGGGCCAGAAATATTCGTTCCTTCTTGCAAAATGTACTCCAAATGTATGTAAGACGATCGATTCATATCGAATCAAGCCGCCTAACCTAAGACAGTCTTCATAACATAGATTTAAATTGAGAAGAGCCGGTGCTGTCAACTCGTGAGAACTGACGAACCCGAATGAACTTCACGGATACATAATTATAGGGCACTGATTCGATTTAAGTGGGCCAAAATTCTTCAGATCATCTAGCCTGTAGATATTTGTCTCAATAGGAATGTGCAGTCGGTTGTGCATTTTTATCTTCATTGATGTTTCTTGTTAGATTGTTATACTACTTTTTTTGATTAAAAATTTACATTTTTTACACATATTCTGAAACATTCAGTAACTGCAAATATTATTTCTCACCAGCTACCTCCGTTCATTACAAATAAATCAAAGTGACATTCGTGCCGATTTTTTTGTATTTAACTTTTTTCATTTAAAATCACCAGTAGCTAAAAATATATTCAATTTAAGGCCATGTATTTTTGTAGTCTCCGCTCTCTTGTAAAGAAACAAAATTATACCTCTGAAAATGTATCATTTTTGACGGAAAATAAAACTCCCATTTTCAAAGCAATATATTTGCTGCAATTTTTTTTTTTCATTTTTTATTTTTCATTTTTTTTGCGGAGTAGATTAAAAAATGGAACAATTTTGTAAGTTCAAAAGTCCAAAGAATCTTAAAAATCTCGAGGGTATTAACCTTAAAATGTAACTAGAGGCTCGCGTCAACCCCATAAAACGTTAGTGCAATAACTTTAGTGTCAAAATAATAATAAAATAAAAAATTGTAGAGTCCCCCCCCCCCNCCCCCCCCCCCCGTGTCGCGACTCAGTTCGCATTTACTTCTGCCTTGATTCATTGATTTTTTTTTCCAATTTGAAGGTGCTTTAATAACCCTTTTTACGAGCTTCTGATGGCAGGCTAAAATAATGTTAAAGGTTGGTTAGGTTAGGCTGGAGGAAAAAAAAATGCTCAATTTTACCTAGCATGCTTTTGCTCTTGTCTCTCATTCCCGGAGGTAAGGCACGCAACTGTTTTTCGATAATACTTGTTTCATTTTTCTAAACTCTGGTAGTATGCCTAATCAGTGTCGATGTTGTTCCCAATTTTGTAGTGTTAGTTGTAGTCATAGTTATGTTGAAAGACATTTACTTACTGCCAAAAACGTAATTGTCGTTTCATTAAAGGCCCCTCGTTAAAGAAAAAAACCGCTACAATTGTCTCTTTATTTTCGGGCTTTGCTTGATAAACATCATTTAGTACCATCATAAAGTTTCTTTTTTTCAAAGAAGAAGAATCTGTGAACAGAGTTTCTAGAAACTTGCCTTTTTCTCGCCTGTTGCAAGCTCATTACTTCACTCGCATTTTTCGACGAGTAGGATTGCAAAAACTTTATAAATGTATCGAAGTAAAATTACATGTGAAATTTATATTTCGAGAGTGTATGGTTTGCACTCAGTATTAAAAATTTCTACAATGTCAATATCAATGCCAAACTTGAAATGACTTATTAAACCATTTGCATACCAAAATCAATCAGTATTTTCATAAAGTGATCACGGCTTTGTATAAAAAAAAAATTCCATATTCGAGGGATCACCACTGATATCAGCCAATATTCCGTGGTAACCGAAACAAGACATTGAAATAATCACCTAACGTCATTAATATTTTTCTCTCCACGTTATAATACGTCCACTACACCAAGTAGCAAAAAATACTTCAGTTTACACGGAAGCTGTTCGTCGTACTGATTAAAACGTTGCTTAAGCTCTTACGCCCAAAAAAACACTTTGGGTGTAATAAATATGATATATACAGTACAAATCGTGAATATTTTCCATTATTTATAGGACCGAATTTTAAACACAGACGCATCAAGTCGCATTGAGTTCAAACTGAAAAAAGGTGTTACAACTATCCCCAAGTTATTTTTTTTTTTTTTCCAAATTATGAATTTGCGTCATTCTGTTGAGCCCGAATCCACTTGCACTCCACTACATATGTTGACATGCATAAGTTATTCAACAATTAAAATTGCTGAAAAGTTTTAATTAAATTAATTCAACGTACAGATTATGAGTCGAAACGGACGTTTCATGTTCAACCGTAGCATTAAAATACTCATGCCTTTAAAGATGGGAGAAATGTGACAGTAGAGGTTGAGCTTTCATAGTTGTAAAAAATAAAACAAAAATTAGTTTAGAGATTGTATCGTTCAATCTTTACGTGAACAGATTAACAGATACAAATAGAGTGATACAAAAATTTTAAAAGCATTATTGGACTAAAATTCAACTTTAAAAGAGAGGCGTAGGCAAAATGGTTATACTCACGAACGAAAGGACCCAGGACCGGTTTTAAAAGAAATATTGCATTTTAGAAACCCAATGGTATGCTAGAAATTGGTGTCTAGGCTAGAAACATGGTCGATTTGATTATTTTCATGAGTCTAGAGGTAATGCGACTCGTAAATACTTTCTTTGCGAATACGCTTCGTAATGGCGTCGGGAAAGTTATCGTGATAACGTTTGGTGGATAACAACTCCTCGGAGTTTATTTTCCTTTCAAGTGTCAGGGCGACCAACTTTTCAATTCTTGGTTTCAATTTATGCAGGTACATTATTTTGGCTGACATAAAGTTCCTCATATTTCACAACTTTGCTTTCTTTTGGCTTCTTTAGCTCCAGTTCCCCTTTCCTGAGTCTATTCCTCCCCGTTTCTTGCCTTTCAACGTTCTTGAAAATTTCGCTCCTGTGACGTAAGGGCGTATCTCAATTTCTGTATGAGCCCCAGAAGGCATTGATTTATATGTAAAACAGGGCTCACGCAAAAATTGAGGTACGCCCTTACGCCAGAAGAGCGTTGAAAGAACAGCGCAGTTTTTCAAAATAAGGTACCTAAACTATATAATCTTTAAACAACGATTAAAAATTTTCATTAATAATGTATAACTGCTCTTATTGTTGATACTCATTTCCTCTAAACACGAAAATGTTCAAAAAATGAAGCCTATTTTTAAGGCATCATGATGAAAAACAGTGTTCGCAACCAGTGTAAATAAATAACAACGATGGAGAGCTGGTGGAAGAGGGGTGAAAAGAGCCGGGCATGGAAAAACTCGAAAGTTGCCAGGAGTGGGTTTAGCCCGTATAAGAATTATTGATAGACAAATCTATAGGCAAAGGATGCAGAGAGAAAAATGAGCGATCCTATTCCTTGAAACGGTTGGTTCTTATAGACTGAGAGAGAAAATGATGGATTAACTATAGGTACTGTCATGGGTTGCCGTCAATTACTTCTCTTTGTCCTTATAACCCCCCTTTCTCATCGACAGGATCTCTCCATTATTTCTTTATCTCTTTTGTCTATAGCTGTGTCCATCAGTGTTAATAAGCAGCGTGCAAAAGCAAGGAATAATTCAGGCAATTTTTAATGTGAGGCAATATTGCTGAACAGCGCTTGTTTAATTTTTGTAAAGGTGCACCAAGAATTTTCGTTGATATTGAAAATAAATTGCATCCCTCCTTCCAGAGGAGGATACCCAGGAACAAAAATCTTGACTACTGGTTCGATAAGATGACGAACTAATTTTGTCGCTCTTCTCTCATACATTGATTCGTTTACTTCGATATAATATTTGCATCGAACTTGTGGTCTTATTCAAGTAAATATAGTTGGTAAATTGTACAGAAAAAAAGAGAAAAGAAAAAGTAGCCCTAAAAATTTAGTTTTTCATAAAATTTTAGGACTAAATTGTATTTAAT